TTTTTACTATTATATGTATTATACTTCTAATGAAAAACTTATTTGGGGGACTTGGGAGCTATATATATATATATATATAAATATTATTGAGGTAACTCATATCAATCCATCTAAATTCACATCTACTCACCTTTAGAAAAATTATATCAATTTACATTCCTAGAAGCAGTGGTGTTTGAGAGGACCTCTTTCTCCATACTCTTGCCAACAAAAGCTGTTATGTTATAAAGTGTTGACAATCTGATTAGGAAAAAGTGATGCCTTGTTGTTTTAATCCATTTCTTTAACTATGAGTAGCACAATACATCTTTTAATATGTTTATTGGCCATTTGTATTTCTTCTTCTGTGAATTGCCTCTTTGTGTCCCCATTTTTTTTTTTCCTACAGGAGTTTTCATTATTTCTTTTAAAGATTTATTTATTTATTTGAGAGAGAGAGAGAGAATGTGCGAATGATGGGTGGGCGCAGGGTGAGGGAGTAGGGGCGGGGGGGAGTGTGGGCAGAGGGAGAGGGAGAGGCAGAGAGAGAATCTTAAGCAGACTCACTGCAGAGCATGGAACCCATTGGGATCTCACCACCCTGACATCATGACCTGACCTGAGCTGAAATCAAGAGTTGGATGCTTAACTGTGAGTCGCCCAGGTGCCCCCATTATATTTTTTAAGTTTATTTATTTATTTTTCTAGCAATCTCTATACCCAATGTGGGCTTGAACTCATAATCCTGAGATCAAGAGTTGCAGGCTCTACTGACTGAGCCCCAAGTTTTCATTATTTTAAGAGAAGGATGTCCATCCCTAACTAGAAATCAAATACTGTATTTACTTTATTTTTTAATTTTTTTAAAAAGAACTTGATTCTTTTTTTACTTCACCTAAGAGATGAATTATTTGGAATGGAACCTGGAGATTTTCATGGAATCTAAAGGAAGCTGAATAACCAGAACTCAGGATGACAGGAACTTCTCTCTCCCAAGCCTTCAGGTTTCTTATCTTTGTTTCTGTTTTTCTCTGTTTCTCTCTTTCTGCAGATGGGCATTATCTCGTTTTCATGGGTGCCCCACAAAGATGGTCCCTTTTCTGTATTTCTATCACTTTCAAGTAAACAGCCCTGGCCTGTTCCACAAACTCATTGAGTTCAGTTCCAAATTCCTGAGAGAGAGAGAGAGAATCTGATTGGCTGATCCTAACTCAGGCATCTCCCTCTTGTCCAATCAGTGGGGGCTAAGGGACAGGGCCACGTAGGGCAGACATGGCTGCTGGAGGCCACATAGAGGGTCATTAATGGTTTGCAGAAAAGGAGGTCATCACAGTTTGGATATATACCCAAAAGCTTTCTACTACAAGTTGCTATTATCATATAATGTACCCTAATGTCTATTTGGACTCTGTTCTCTTAATCAGTTATGCTGTAGTATAATCTTAGTACTAGCTGGTCTTGGCAATTCTGAATCTTAAGGACTTAGAGATCTGGAGGCAATCTCAGCTGCCCTGGTAAGATGAATCACTTTTCTCCTAGACTTTCAACTTCCAGTGGTAGAATGGCTTAAATCCTTTAAGAAACTTTGAAACTAACCTGGTCTGGAGATTTGGGATTCATTTAAATTTCTTATACGAGATCACCAGCCCAAGAAATTCAGAAAGAAACTGGCTGGTCTTGGGCATATTCCAGGCAGTGGCATCTCCAGGCATAGCTCCTAACATTGTTCTGAGATAATACCTAGAAGCCCTTTTGGAATATTGCCATCAGCTTTTCTTCCTTAGGGTGGTGCTCAGCAATTTGTCCCTTTGTCTCTCAACCAGTCCTTCTCCGTGCCTTCTTCCTGACAAAACAAAACAAAACAAAACAAAACAAAACAAAACTGCAGAGCCATTACAGCAGAACCATATGTGTTAATAACCCTTCAGATTCAAGTGGAAACTCATTTCTGGGAGTGTCTTGATTGGGTAACACCTCATTTTCTCCATTTCATACCCCATCCCATGAGAGAATCATTCAATGGAGGATGGAGCGGTTGGTAGTTCCTTCATACCTAATGTGCCAGCCACCTTGGTCAGTGTTTTTGCATAGTGGATCAGAATGGTGAGCTCTTTATTGTGGGTGACCATGCCAAGAATTGCAGATGTTAAGCATCCTTGGTCCTCAAGGAATTAATGGCTAGCGTACCACTTCCAATCTCATGAGAACCAAAATATCCCCACAATGTTATAGAATTCACTTGAGGAGTAGTTGCACTCCTTTGAGATAACTTCTGCCATGAACCGAAGTTCTCAGCCACTTGGGTCTCTTATTTGCAAGGATCTCTTTGCATTATGTGGGCTGTTTATGTGTGAGCTAGTATACCCCTAGTACTGCATGGGGTTGGCCTGAAGTTGTTTCTCTTGCGTCAGCATTCTAATAGAGTTGTCAGGTTCCAATAACATTTTCTTCTCTTGGATTCTTGGTCAACACAACTTTAATCCATGGGTATTGCAAGTTAACTTAGTTTTAGTTAATAGACTAAAATCAGTTTCTTTTTTTTAAGATTTTATTTATTTATTTGCCAGAGAGAGAGAGAGAGCACAAGCAAGGGGAGCAGCAAGCAGAAGAAGAAGCAGGCTGAGCAAGGTGCCCGATGCGGGGCTCGATCCCAGGACCCTGAGATCATGACCTGAGCCAAGGCAGACGCTTAACCGACTGAGCCACCGAGGTGTCCCTAAAATCAATTTCTGATTATTATGTAGGTAAGGCCAAACTAAACTCAAAGCAAGGGGAACTGTAGCAGAATATAGTGGATAGAGTGCTAGACTGGGAGTTTAGAGATCCTTACTAGCATGTAATCTTGGGTGATCAGTTACCCTCTCTTGGTTTCAATTTCTTCATCTGTAAAATGGGGAGGTTGGGCTCGACAGTCTCAGTTTCTTTCAGGTCTAATATTGAGATTTTTTATAATCTGTGTCCCCATTCCATCATCCATAAGATTGGGACAACATGTGTTCGCCTCTGAGACAGAATTTTCCTTAATATTAGTAAAATACTGCAACATTGTGGCCACCCAAAAATTAGGCCCTGGCAATGATCTAAGCTTCCGCACAGGTGTTAGAGGCGTAAGACCAGTTTCTTATAAAATGTTTATAACTACTGTAGAGTTTGTAAGTATTATACCTGTATGCTGTTAGAGTTGTCTCCCATAAGATAGTCACGTTGGAGGGAAAAAAAAATCACTGGAGAAGAGAAAAGGCATACATTCCATATTTTAAGAGAGGACAAGGAAGGGAAATAAAGTAGAAGGGTAGCCAGGTGAAGAAATGATCTGGGCTACTAGTACCATTGTCTATTCCCATAATCATCTTATGTTTGTGGCCACAATAGTTATCATTTCTTGAAGGGTTTTTTATGGAATAGGCACTGTATTGAGCTTACATATTTTATCTCATTTAATTCTCACAGCAATCCTATCCAAGCAGGCACTGTGATTACCAAGAATTGGCAGAATGAGAATTTGAATCCTAAATGTGTATGACCCAGAACCCAGGCTTTTAAAGCCATTATATTTTATTAAGTCTTATTTGGTACTGGGACAGGAGGAGGTAAAATGCTTTCCCTTTCTAAAAACTTCTAGCAACCCAGACACTATTGGTCACGTATTCTAGTGCTGTCTGCTGTTGAAACTGTTATGGAAAACATACCCCATTAAGAATCTGAAAGGTGGGTTCTAGTTTTACTGCTCTATATTTTTGGACAAGACATAAAAGCTTTCTGGATCTCACTTTCCTTATTTGTAAAACAGAGAGCTACTTGAAGGCAGAAGGCCATTTCTTACTCATCATTTCCCCTGTTGGATGTAGCGGTGTTGAGCAAATAGGAATGCAAGGGGGTAGACAAGATGGTCCCTATGCTGCGTTTCTCATTCTTTGATCTTGAAATGGGGCCTTGACCAGGCAGGTGTACTATATGTAGAGCAATATTTTGTTTTCTATTTTAAAAACACAAGGCAGGGGCGCCTGGGTGGCTCAGTCGTTAAGCGTCTGCCTTCGGCTCAGGTCATGATCCCAGAGTCCTGGGATCGAGCCCCGCATCAGGCTCCCTGCTC